TGGCAGCCCTCCCTGCAGGTCTCTGGACATGGCTCAGTATCTGTGACATTGGCACAGCGGTTGGCGCAAGTGTTAGTGCAGACTTCGTAGTGACTGTTGGCTGGGCAGGTCATAGCTAAATGGAAAGAAGACACATAAGGAATCATAATTGCCTAGCCAAGATGAAAAGAAAGAGAGCAGACAATCTTGGGTATCTCTTAGTAAGAGGAGAAGAAAACAAGATCCATGAAAGAAAAGAAATCTTTCCCATAGGTCCAAAGGTGCTTTTTCAATAGACCACTGGATTTTCTTGTTTTTCTCTGAAGACATTTCACTTCTCATCCAAGAAGCTTCTTCAGCTCTGACTGGATGGTGGGGAATAGAAGGATTTATGAACTGTTTTGTCTGCATCCCCAACAGCCTGTGCCTGTGTTCAATAGTGAAGAGACACAGAGTAGAAAACATCCTACAGAAGAACAATTCCATAACACAGTCCTTTTAGCAGTTCCAAGAAGGTTCCACATCCATTTGTAGTACTCAAGTAACCCTGATGATGCAGATAAACCTCCAGGTGGCATCAATGACTCTCTAAAAGAATGCAAATGACCAGCTGCCTGAAAGGAATGTAAATACTTCCATTCCCCACCATCCAGTCAGAGCTAAGGAAGCTTCTTGGATGAGAAGCGAAATGTCTTCAAAGAAAAAACAAGACAGTCTAGTTGCCTCTTGAAAAAGCACCTTTGGGACAACCAGGACCTTAATGACTGAGAATTTCCATAGACAAAAGGAACAGGTCACTGATAGAATTTCTTTTCTTAGCCATGTCAGCAATTTTTTCCAGCTAGATGCCTTCTAGAATGTTACAGTTTCAGCTCTCTAATTTCCAATCACATCTGGCAATTACCAGCTTGAAGCTGATTGCTCTAAAACTATACTGAGCACGGCCCAAAACTGAGTCTACATAAAGTTGGAAAAGAAAGTCCCAATCTTTTTAGATCAGATTATTTTTTTATTTGAAACATACCTCAAGTCACATAAAGACCCCACAGTTATTAATGTTAGATGCTGTCAGATTCAGAAACTTTAAGAAAGGTTTGAAGTTATTGAAGTTAGTCAGCTGATTGCCATCGGATCAAATTATAAAATAAGAATTAAATATTGAAATCCTTTCTTCAATAATGCATATAAAAGTATGTGTCTAAGAAAGGACAAACAGAGGATAGAGATTTTCAGAGGACCAACCTGGAAGATATAAAGTCTACTTGCAAGTCAGCGTGGAAACAAAAATCAAAGGGATCCACCCATGAGGTTGGAAGACACAAGGTTCAGAATTGGGAAAAGTTAAAAATGTTGTCCTTAACAATTCTATGGCTGCCAAATGTTATCATGAAAACCCTTTTAGACTTGCAATAGAGGTGTAGCTCTGGTCACATTGAGATGCTGCATAGGTACAAGCAACCAAATCACATGGCTACAGGAGTGCTGGGAAGGCCGAATTTCATAACCACCATACATTCAGTGCCATTGTTACTTTAAATGGTCACTGAATTAGTAGTTAGTCAAGTAGTTGTATATTGATATTCATAGATAGATAGATAGATAGATAGATAGATAGATAGATAGATAGATAGATAGATAGAT